CTCCACAGGTGGGCATGAGGCTGAACTAGGCTGCAAGACAGAATTACAAACTGTCTGCCATTTCCGGGGGGGCAGGGGGGAGGCCGGGGGTGGGGGGACGGGAGAGACCGTTCTCGGAGGAGGGAAAGGGCCCAGGGGATGGCGGTAGTGCTGGGGGCTAGGGCGGCGTGAGGAAAGGAAGGATTGGCCAGGGAAGGGCTAGATGAAGAGGAAGCCCCCATCTTCCCCATGCAACCCCCGCCCAGCATAGTGGCATAAGGCCAACCACGCCAGGGGCTGGACGGTGGAAATCAGGATGTGCTCACAGGCGTCCAGCGAGAAAATTCCTCACTGCCCCGAGACCCTGACAGCATCGGTCCAATCCATTCATTTCACGGGCACCTCTTAAATGCCAAGGACTGTCTGGGCACTGGGGATGCAGTAATTAACAAAACAGAGTCCCCGCCACTCTGGCTCTTATATTCAGGCCCGGGAAGACAGGGAGTAAACAAAAGAAAACAATTAAGAAAGAACAGAATATCTGGGAATGTTCAGAGCTGTGAAGAACTGAGGGGTGCTGCTTTACAAACGGGGTGTGCAGGGAGGGCCTCTGAAGAGCTGACTGGTAAGCAGAGACCTGCTTGTCCTAAGAAGATAAGCCCTGGGGATGTTGAGAGGACGAGTCTCCCACACAGAGGGACAGCAGGTGCAAGGGCCCTGAGGCAGGGCAAGGCTCTGGCTATGGCCGGGTTGGGGCACACAAGCAGACCAAAGCCCTGAAAAGGGCAAGCTTCGATCGATGTTGAGCTGGCCCTGCCCCCGGCTTGCTATGTGACACAGATAACATTTTTTCCCTCCCTGGGCTCTATTTCTCTCTCTGCATAACGAAGGATCGGCCTGAGCTCCAAGGGTTGGTTTCTAACATGCGTGACCTTGAAATCTGGCAACCAGAAGACGGGCCCACCGTGTGGGGATAAGGATGGAGTGGAGAGTTGGGAGACGGCCCACACAGAAGGGGCTTAGCAGTGGCAGAGAGATGCCCCGTGGCCCCTTAGACTCTAAGCCCCTCGCTCTGCCCGGTTTCAGTTGCTGCGGGCACTGGTGGCCAGGTAAAACTCTACCTGTCCAGGTGACAGGCACAGCTATCTGTGCAGTTTGCTCAGATCGGGCTTGTTACCCGAGAGACCTCTCGGTCTGGGTGGGCGTTGCGGGGAGCTGGCCTGATAGTCCTTGAAAACCAGCCAGCACGTAGCGAGGCACCAGGGCAAGCAAGGACTTATTCCAAGGAGGCCCTCTCCTTGGGGGCCGGCCACCTCCTCCCGGGGTGTTCTTGTAAGTTGCCAGAGAAGACCCCCGAGCCCAGCCTCTCAGCTCTAACGAGGGGACTTTTGGCGGCCAAGTGTCAGGCCACTGGACGGGGCCTTTAGGGGGAAGTCCCCTGCTCTCTGAGCTGAAGCTTCTTCTAGAAAGCTGAGAAACAGCTCATTCTGAACTTGCTGGGCTCCACCTGTAGGTTTAAGCCAGACTCAAGTAAGACCGTGCATGTGGAGAGCCCTTGGTGTATTTGATGATCCTATGGCCTGGTTGGTTTTCACTAGGAGAATGACCCAGGACCCAAATCGGGGCCCCTAGACTTCTTACTCTCCTTTCGCCCTTTGGACCAGGCTGCCGTCTGATGTCTGATGGCCGGGATGCCCCGCACAGGCCTGCCACTCTGTCCGTCCCTTTGCCTTTCTGCAGCCTTAAGTTGTCACAGCTGTGTGCCTTTTACTGCAAGGAGCCATTCCAGGCCCCTTAAATCGGTGCTTTTCAAACCTAACGTGCGCATGACTCACGGGCAGGGGAACTCGTTAACATCAGCGCCCTGGTGCAGTAGGTCGGGGCACTGGCGATCTGGCACCAGAGACCCCCACATCTCTAACTAGCTCCCAGTGTTTAAGAAAACATTATCCAATGACACTTGTTAAAGCTGGTGAGCAAGGCTTTATTCAAGGGGAGGCAATGGACTGTCAAGCTAGGTCTTGGGACCACCGAAGTGGGGTCTTGCAGTCGGGGAGGGAGGTTTGGGTCACCTCCAATGACAATGAGAGGTGGGGACCCAGAGCCAAGAAGCAGGGTGGGGTTTGTGATAGAAAATTACTCACGGGAAGCACCAGGGGTAAGGGGGATTCTGGTTAAACGGACCCTAACAGGATTCTTGCCAAAGGCAGGCCAGGGTGTCACCATCCGGGGGGAAGGTGGAAGGGGGTGAGGAATTTAGTCAGATACCGAGGGTGATCAGATATGGAGAATGGGGGATTCTGGTTAAACTGACTCAGCAGGATTCTTGTTAAAACTGAACAGCGCCCGGATGGCTCAGTCAGTTCAGCGTTCAACTTCGGCTCGGGTCGTGATCTCGCGGTTCGTGAGTTCGAGCCCCGCGTCGGGCTCTGTGCTGACAGCTCGGAGCCCGGAGCCTGCTCCGGATTCCGTGTCTGCTTCTGTCTCTGCCCCTTTGCTACTCATTCTCTCCCTGTCTCTCTCTCAAAAATAAATAAAGTATTAAAAAAATTGGACAATGCAGAAACAAACATGGCAGGCTAAAAGTGAGGGCCTAGTTGAAAAAGAGTGAGGAGAGTCTGAATAAACTTTGGTCCAGGAGAGAATCTGTCACTCAAGCTGCAGGTATAGGGACCCCTCTTTGAGTAGAAAACCACAGACATTTGAAATGCAACATATCAAAGACAGGGTTCAGAGTCTTCCCTTCCACACCCTCCCTACCCCTTATCCTATATTCCCCAGGGCACTGACAAACACTACCATCATTCTCTTCTTCTCCTGGGCTTTTTTTTTTTTTTTTTTTAAAGGTGTACGTTTCATACAATAAAATGTACCCATTTTAAGTTCATTTTGCTACTTGTACACACTCATGTAACCATCACCCCCATCAGGTTCTAGAACTTTCTCCCTTTGAGTTCTAGAACTTTCTATAACCCCCAAAAGTTCCCTTTTGCTGTTGATATCCGTCATCGGCAGCCAACCTTCTCAAGGCCTTTGCTCTTACATAGGTCTTTCCCACTCGTGTGCCAACACGCTGTGGTATACCCTCCCTTGACCCCACACGCTTTCCCATCAGAACAAGATGGGCTGGATTTGACTATTGACCTACGGTGCCTTTGATTTTTTTTTTTTTTTTTTTTTTTTTTTTTTTTTAGTGTTTATTTTT